TGCCTTTGTGTTAAGAACTTTCGTCTCGTCGTCAATAGTTATGGCGCGGCGGGTGTGTGATTCAGAGCAAATCGACCAAGGTATAAATATTCTGGCAGTTGAAAAATGTTAAAAAATTGTTATATTGATAAACGTAAAATGTGACCATCTGTCAAGTTACCTTTATCCAACTCCGTTTGTACAGATCTACCATGGTTGGTTGGACACCGGATCAACTTCCTGGTAGTTTTTCGCTATGCCGTGACCAAATACTACTTTATGCGTTGATAAAAAACATCCTACATGCTTTTAGAGAAAGTTTACGTCTTTAAAGTGATATTAGTTGGAAGCAATAGTAGCGAAGGAAAGATCAAGTTCATGAAACAGTCCCTCCTTTGATTGGGTACGGTATGCGCACAAACGTAATACTATATAACATAAGCGTCAAATAGGTTTTTGTGCCATCGATTCTTTTATAATACACCTATATATAATGTTTTACATAACATCCCTACAATCTGCGATGTGGTATTTAAGCTATAAAATGGTCGAGATATACTATCTATCCGTACGAGATAATAATACGATTCACATTCTCTAAGAAACTACAGTATAAGAAGTATATGTTTTAATAATTATTGGAAATTAGAGACAAATCCTAGGCGAGTCCTACATTCTGTCCGTGTCATCCGCATATTGATTAGCGGTAGTACGGCAAAATGCATATAAGTCGCTGATCGCAGTGATGTAGTGCATAAGTCAGGAAGATTCATGCCATTGGGGGTGTTTTGACAAATCTTGATCCATGGTACAGGTCTAGAGAGATAAGAATTTGGTAAACTCGTTTTCAGCATAGCTATGAAGTATGTTATTGTTATTATTACTTTTTTTTTCTTTTTTTTTTTTCGATATCTTCGTCAACACACATCAGATATTTGTGCGTACGCCTTGTCTAAAAGCGATAGCTTAATTCCAATCTTAGTTAACCATGTCGTATATACTATCGAATTAGAGTTTTTCTTTCGACCTTGAATTGAATAGAGGATATCATATCATCAGGGCAGCTACTATCCTCTGTGGATCTATTGTATTACTGAAACCTTTCTTATGGTCGACGATGGTAAATGGAAAACGCACATATACGTTCGCAGGTAGTCGTTTGGATGAAAATTTAAATGAAAAACAGGTCTGAGGGTTTGCTCGATTTTTATACGCATGCATAGAACAAGCCACGCTTTTGACTTGTATGATGTTCTTACGAATTACTATCATTAGAAATGGAACGCCCGTTTTCATTAGCTAAATTTTAGCGTACTAAAATGTTTTGCAAGGTAGATGATCAGTATTAAGCACTTTGCCCTTTATTTAAGTAAGCCGTGTGACACTGGTATGAAAATAGAGCCCAGGAGTCAATATTACATAACGAAGCGCGTTAGTAAAGGACTACTTTAGAGGGTATTCTTTCTTTCTAATCGCTAGCAAGTGTTTATTCTTTCATTACTCTTATTGGGGAAAAAGGACTCCTAAATCGAGGATCCGTATCGTGACTGAATCCGTATGATATACGCCACGGCACATACCAAAGTGTCCTTGTAGTAACATGCCAATTGCCTTCACTCAGTTAAAAGGGTGAGATGAAATTCATTTTGGCAGACATATAGCATCGCTGGTGTTACTGGCCTTGCGACAGATCATTGCTCGAACGCAACTAACTACAGGGTTCAGAAGAAGGGGCTGCCAAAGGCACTTTGTGAAACGATAGAAAAAAGACGAAAGAAGATCTTTCCATCCAACTTCATGGTCATTTTCGTTACACTCAATGAGTCTGATAGATGCTTTCAAATGCCTAACTCAATTCGGATAACTACTCAGAATAAATCCAATCCTGCAATAACTGTGCAACGACTGTCTACCATGTATTTAATCAGGTCTCAGCTAGGTTGTAGCAAATTTCCGGAATATTCAGCATATAGGTTTACCATTTAGTGTTGAATAGAAGAAGGAAGGAACAGTAGCAATGGGGTGATCACGTGACTCTTCAATTACAGAAAATCGGGAAAATTGATTTATCATTAGGGCCAATATGAGGTACAGGGCGTTGAGGCCCTTTTGAATTTTTGCTTGAACCTACATTTGAAGCTTCGGGAGAACTAACACTTGATTTTATCTTCCTTAAAAACAACTAAGATCATTGCTTGCTCCTCGGCAAGGTAGCCTTGGACTTAATTTTTCATCGTTTTTCTCTATGCGAGATGTATCCCTTAATCGTTACAACACTGCTTACAGATACCTACATATGGCTTCTATGCGAATTAGGACAAATTAGAATACAAAGTGAACCTAATGGTTGTTTTATTTTTGTCCAACTTTGATTTTATTCTACTTGTGCTAGGGTTGTCCAAGCCAGGTTTTAGATCATTTGGCCTCCAGCAATTTGGCGCCTATAAAACGTTTGCCGTTGTTCATTGAATTATTACGTTGTAATGCTTTCTCGCATTAAATAGATTGTGCTTAGTAATATAGTTCTAGTTATTGTGTAACTCTGGTCCGCTGACTATTTTAACGTTCTTACTTTAACAAGTCAGTCCGTCTTGCAAGATTTTTCAGCGGATTCTATTTGCCGTCTTTGCTCCATGTAGACGAGAGGCTCGGTGAGCAATGCATAGGCTAGCCTAGCTCTTACCAACGGTGTGGCCACACTCGAAATATCGTTGCAACGCGTACACTAAGAGGCCAAAATATCTTTGACCTTGTCGCTTCCTTTAAGGGAACGAACATTACCAACCATAAGAAAAATGGGTGGGCAATTTGGTAGTCGAAAGCCGTAAAATCCGATTAGTGGCCGAAACAGATGAAAATCTGTAAATACCCGGGGAAGAGCCGGTTCTTGCGATCTTAGATGCGGTAGTTGTATCTGTTAAGCTTCACGAGTTTACTGGCATAGAAAACAGAAACAAAAATTACAATAAGTGTATTGATCTGTATCTATTAATCGGGCAAATAATTCGGACGGTTGCAGAGCAAAGAGTGGAAGATAAACGAAAATAAAACGATTCGTATAGTCTAATAGCAGCAGCAGCAGCAGCAGCAGCGGGCAGAAGGTAGGAAGAGTCAAAAGTCATTAGAAGGCCGAAAGAGGAACACAGAATCGAGAACTAGACACTGTATTCCGTTGACGGTCGGAGGCAGCGAACAAATCCGGGACTAGTAGTAATAATTCTAGTCACATGTAATCACTGGCACCGCTGATCGTAACGGTTTGTTGCGGCTGGAGTCCGTTCCGCGGTCGACGCCAGCTCTGATGTAGGCGTATAAGCATTTGGCTGCGATTCGTTCGCTGACTTACATAGCTGACAAAGGGCCTATGAAACGATCCATCTGGTCGGACAGTTTCCTTGCCAACTGTGTAGCAAATAAGTTGAACTAGAGGAAAATAATTGAATTATACCGAACGAGATCTATACTAACGCTGCTTCCTTTTATCTTAATCTCACCGGGGACACTCCTGTAACGAACCGCTGTCGGTTAACTCGAAACCGCAAAAGTTCGACGGTGGAATTACTAAAGAAGTACGAGGATCGGTGAAATCCTTACCAGAAAATGGCACAAGTATTGCATGGTAAAACTTTTCGCGCAGTTTAACGATTGGCGAAGGCATAGCATAGGCTAAAGTTTTCTAATCACCTGTAGTATTCGATTTGTTTTAAATAGTTGAGACAAATCGATAGAACTAGAAGCGTTCGAAGCTTTGGTTGACATAGATATTAACAGATGCACCCTGACGTCAAATAGCGAATTGAACCCTAATTCGATGTTAACAACATGTTTATGTTGTTATTTGGCGATAACAAACATGTTTAAATACGTGTTTTATCCTAAACAAAGACATGAATGATACAACTCTCACGCACCAGTCAATGATACCTACCTTTGACACTTCCGGGTCTACCTCATTCAAGTATACTATTAAAGTCTCGTGTCTATTTTGCCTTATAAATGAGCTAGTTTTGTCAATTATGCGATCTTTGCATACCGGTATGTTTATCTTAACTTCCATAGCTACGTTTAACTTCCATACCTAATAGCGCTGCGTAATAATAATAAAATATAAATATCTACTATTTGTCAAACATATAGTGTTTTTCCACTGAGGAATCTCTAGTTTTTGATGTATAAACAAGGCTAATATCGTCGCTCAAGGAACGCTGGGCTAGCCGGAGTGAGAAGACAGATGTGGTGACTACGCTTCTGCTCCCTTTTGTTCTCCAGTCAACTCGGTCGACCGACGACAGAGTTGTCTTGAGTATCTTACTATTGAATTTCGACTTGTCAGCAACGATTCTGGGTTTGCAACTATACAAACATATGAAATTATCTAGATTGGTTTCTCAAACTGTGCCTAAGGAAAGGGTGGCGGTTGCGTTCCTATCCTGTCGTTACAATGTCGTTTATTCGTGACTCCGTATGCCTGTTATACGTAAAGGTAATGGTTGGCTCTATAACTTATCGGACACTTAACGGAAGAAAACCTTTTGTCTGTCCCGTATAATGCGGGGGCAACATGTTTACCTACTAAACTTAGGGATACGAGGTGAGGTAGCCTGAATTCAAAACCGGACATAGACACACTTGATTTCCCGCTGGAAGCTACGCATTTGATGCTTAATAGCATTACTGGGCATACAAATCTAGACATTATTAGCTCAGCAGAAATCTTACATACAACAGCGTATGTTCCAAACAAACAAAGATTCGATGCCAATACTGATGATGCGTTGCAGCGAATGGTCTGGCATTAGCTAAATATCGTCAGAGTCTCGCAATCGAAATGTCTTTATTTCCTTGTATAATGGCTCACCCATTTTTGTACTACTGTCGACTAGGTCGATCGTCGAATCACTTGTGTTTGAGAAAACTATCGATACTCCTCCTCTGTGTCACGGTATCACTAAAAACCGAACCCGACAGCCAACTATCTGGGATATATGAGCTATGGTGCATTTTTTCGTGACGTTTCTTACCTGACAGGGTGGGCGTCCATTAAAGATCCGTGTTGATTCCTGCTGGCTAGTGCCATGTCATTGTTGAGTTCCTGTCGCCCAATACATGGCTGTATCCTTAATCGATATATGATTGTTACAGCGAATAGAATAGGCGCAAGTGGTGGGAAGCCGCCCAACGCAATACAAATTTTTGGTCGTCCGAACGAAAGGGCTAGTAGGACTAGCAGCAGTACTAGCGGCGAAGACGTTTTTTCACTAATACAGACACTGAGCGCCCAAACGCGAACTGGATACCAACTACTTTCTGCTCGAGAGCACTGCTGGACACGCGCGGTCTACAGCCTACGACACCAGCATAAGTAACTGGCTGACGCGATAATCTAACAAGGTGCGCTACTTAATACGTTGTGACCGAATTCATTGACACTGAACAAACCGGATCCGGCTTTGTTTTACCTCAGTGGTAATCGTTTGGTCCTATACGCCATGGGACCAATTCGGCTTTTGCCTAAACCTCTTTGCTTGTAGTACTTCCGTTATCCAGACTGCCCTTAACTCTTCTATCTGTTAGTTCGCGGAATGCTCGCTTTTTCATCGAACGCTCGTCGCACTGCGCTACTCTTTACATCGTCACTATTCACATACACTTTATTAGCAAGGTCTACCTCCGTATATGATATAATCTATTCTTTAGACAATGATTATTGCTATGTACCCTGTACGGCCTTGTTAGTTCTACCGATTAACACCATCAGTATACCAGAGCAACTCAGATGCGGTCGTGTGTTCAGCATCATACGGTATGTCGTCAAATGGCGCGACCAAAGGTTCCCCGTTCCGTTCTTGCTGCTGCTGCTTCAATTATGGATTAATCCATAATTCTGGAATTCTGCAGTCTATTCGCTCTACCTGTAGACCACGTTTAGCTGATTTTGCGGTAACGTCGACGACGACTACCACTGGTACAGTGACTCGATCGAGCTCGTAGCCGTTGTAGCGCTTCCTTTCGCTTGATCTCACGAACATGTGGTGGCACTCACGCATGTAGTAATACGGACGACAGCCTTTCTTAAACTAGTTACAATAGCGACGTTTCACTCAAACAGCAACTGTGTAGTAGGTCGGCCTGCTAGGTAATTCGGTGACGTTACTGACGAAGGCCATGCCTCGCTCGGTGACTCGTTGACAGTCTGCGAATTCAGTGGGGCACAGCAGCTGCACCTATGTCAGGGGTCGTTCGACGGCTAAACCGGAGTGATGAACAACGGCAACAGCGTAAGTACCCAATAATAATGCGCAAAACAATAATAATAATAATGATTCTGTGCAATAATATTATAGAACGATGAGCAAGCTTACCGACGTTAATTTCTCTGCGTTTACCTCTCGATCATTTCCCTGTTGCTTTTGACACTCGTTACAATGGCGCTCAACGACGTCGTATTTATGCGTGGACGACACGCAGCTTTCGTCAACTAGCTCCAGTATCGTCCTATTCGCGTGGAGTACGTATAACAGTAAGTGATTTGGTACGGCGGCTTCTGACCGACACGATTGGAGCTGGTGAATGGTGCAGAGGACGTTTCTACTGCTCCTGCTTTCATGGCACAGGGTTGCTCTGTGAGAGTGCACTTTACCTGCTTGACTCACTGGTTGCGCAGCTGGTTACTCTTCCGTCCGGGGGATGATGGTAGCTTCGGTGGCGACCGTGCCTGTGGGGGGTGGAGAGACGGTGGACGGCAGGAGCAGAACGCAGGCGTTGGCCTGTTCGATGGTCGGCGGCTAGTGCTCTACCCTGCCTGTTCTGGTCGTTTAATCATTTACCAGGTCGTAGCGTGTGCTAGTTTGTACCTTGTAGTATAGTACATCGATACGTTGTGCTGGTAGGGTGCGCCGACGCTCTCCCGCTGGCGGTGGCGGTAGCGGCGGCTGTGGCTGTGACGGTGGAGGCGGTAGTGAAGCCAGCAGCGCTGTGCGTGGTGACAAGAAAGGCCGGCGTTCCCAATTCCAAAGAAGGAAAGAGAAAAGGGCGAGAGTAAAAGGAAGAGTCGGAGAGAGTGTGTGAGGGAGAGAGAGATAGATAGATAGATAGAGAGAGAGAGAGCGAGAGAGAGAGAGAGCAAAAAGCAACGAGCATGCACGGTAACTGATGCCGTAGGAAAAATAGAACTAACAGTGCTATGTACGGAACACAGCGGGCAGTAAGAACGTTAGGGAGCGACTGGAGCCAAATACGATGATGGCGGCCGCCGTGATGGCGGTCAGAACGGCGCTAGAAACCAGTGGCCCTGCGAGAGTATCAAGCGGCGGCGGCGGCGGCTAGAAAAAGCGAGGCCAGCCGTCAGAGCAAAGGCAGTCAGAGTAAAAACGGTGCCGGCCATGCGGAATTCGCCATCAGAGAGCCACTCACAGGTACACCATCAAGCATCCACAGGCGGCGCACCGCCACGTACTTGGTCTGGCTGTGTATGGATCTGTCCGTGTGTCCATGCGGGCGTCGTCCTTCCCCTGCGACTTTCCCACTCTTGTTAGCCTCTATCGGCCTGATCAGAACCAGGCCGTTACCAGAAGCAGCAAGGTGGAGAGGGCAAAGATGATATGGAGCGATCAAAGCGGAGCTACACCGAAGCGGTTTGCTAGGTAGGTCGTGGAGTTTCCGTCGAGTTCCGCTGCGCGGAGCCACACTGGCTACTGTTCCTTGCAGTGGTGGTCAGAAGCAGAAAAGTTTGGTTTGCCGCAGAGATATATGAATAAACAATAGAGATGAATGTAGAGGATGTTGTAGAACGAATGTTAGGACCATGTAAAAAAAAGCAGGCAGTGTCCTGATTGTGTGTCGGTGGGCTGTTTTACTTAATTACTAGAAACGATTGTGCACATTTGATGTGTATTCGTTCAATTTCGTCCAAATTCATTATCTTAACTACGAAGTCTGGCTAAAGCTAAATGAAAATAAAAAATAAAGCTTAATACTAGAGGGGAACTCGTTAGTTTTTCGTCGGTTACGATCGATTTCACATTACAGTAGCTTTTCATACGGAAATAACTCGTTCGTAACGACTGTGCCTAATTAGCAATAAAATCAACTTTTAGTAACCCAAAAGCCATGTACGTAACAGGCCGTTAACTTTTTTATCAGAAAAAACAACAGCCAAAAAATGGCGGATTTGATCCAAGTCGTCGACCTCTAAAGGTGGCCGTTAGCCGACAACAAAGGAAACTGCAATGGTGCCTAGTACACGTAGGCCTATACTGGCATTCGTTTTAGTAACCTTAAAAAGGGTGTCAAGCCAATTGTTAGTGCTGCTGATACCGTGAATACACAGTTGGCTATCTATCTGTTGTAAGGCCTAATGCAGGTTCCGTGCGTAAACTTGCAAAAGAAAACTAAATAATTAATATAATAGAACATAAGAAGTAAACGCCGAAGCCATTAGGCATCAATATCGGTTTGTTTTAAATGCGACCGCCTAAACTATATCTTTTGCAGTAAATAATTAATTGTTATTGATGGGCTACTATCAGCAAGCTATTGTAGATACCGCCAGATCAATCCTAGTTTTTGTGCATGCGTTGCCTATATTGAGAAGGGAACAATTTTGAAAATAGAATTTGTTATCTCGCTTAGATAGAAGCTAAAATTTCCAGCTGAGTATTAGTTGTTTTTTTGAAAAGGAAAATGTTTTCGATAGCGGAACTCTTTCAGAAAAAGCCGGATTTATAATAATAATTAATATTATCATTATGATCGTATATAAATATGAACGCGGGTGTTCTATAGCTGCTTTACAGAATCGTTTATTCCTAGTAACCTGATTTCATCTTCCTCTTATTACATGTTATTGTGACAAATACAATAGATAGGTTGACAAACACGGAAAGCTGCCAAAAAACCGTAATCAGGCTACGATAGTTATGCTACACTTTCCAAAACTAACTTCAGGCCGCTCTTACGACAGAATCTGATTATGCTGTCGCTGAATCAGCTTACGATCCCAGCTGATATTTTACTATAAATAATTATAGTAGTTAAGAAAACATTCCTTAATATAGCCTAACTGGCGTTAGTACTAAACAGAGAATTTCTCTTCCTGGAAATCATTGTCTGACTGGATTTTACCGGGGTTTTACTTATGTGCCATACACTAATAAGGCCATGCGGGACGCAAAATTAATCTGTGTTTTCATTGGACCTATAGTAAAATATTGACCGATGCAACTTTCATCAGTGTTTCTCATAAGGAGTTCTAGTTTGGTAAGTGGGATTTGTTATCACGGTGTTCCGAGGACCATCAATTTTAAATGGCAGATCTCCAAAGGCCCAAACTTCGGTTCAACAAAACATTGGTCCTCAGTCTTGTCCCCTTAATTCTTACTGATACCAATAGTTTTTTCTAGAAATCTTTACCTATTGTTAAAAATATCAGCCAAAACAGTTCTCAAAAAACAATTGATTCGGTGCTCGCTCATCGATTTTATACTACGTATGACCATTTATTACTATAAAATCCGTGTTGTAATCTAAATTAGGTGGACTATTAGACCTATTTGGAAGCCGAGTGATCACAGTATCGATCTTTCGAGGATGGTTTTTGTGTAAAATACTATTAGGATTATAGGAATTCGAGGTCTAGATCGTAGTAACTGGGACTTTTACTATAGCAGATGAATACTTTTACTTCAGCAAATTCTGGTCTCATAAGATGGACGGTTTATCAGTGAAGCACGCATAAAGTTATGGCGTTGTTCTAATTGTAAATTAAATACTCCACTGTTTACCCTTGACTATAGAGAAAAGTCTTTTTTACACAGCTTTTAACTTGCTACAGTTCTTAAGAGGTGGAGCTATGAAACATATTAAGTTAACACCATCATATTTTTGACCCATAAAAGAAATTATCATTTTTAGTCGAAGAAAACGTCGGTTGGGGCCGAGTACCGCATATAATAAATACAACATACGTAAGAGGTAATACAAAGACAAAAAGGCGTGGAAAATAGAGGAGGGACAAGCGGTCAGAAGAAGCTTCTTTGTTTAAAAAGCGGTCACTAGGCACTCTCTTCTTCGGTAGATGCCTATCTTAGCTTGTTGAAGTCGATATGGAAGCGTCGATATAGTAACAGTGACATAATAAGAAATAAGATCGATACCTTAGATACTGGCTTCAATTAGGTTCGAAAACCACAGTGATGCGACCTATTTACGATGGAAAATATTGTCGAATAAACATGCCCTTGCAAACAGACGTCAACAGAGAGCTCGAAGCTGGACAGGGTTAATGGTTGGCTGTGAGCACTACAACGGAGATGCAGGAAAGTCTATGGAAGATGCTTCAGTGCAGAGGGGCGGAAAAAAAAACTCGTAATAAAAAGGAAGATGAAATATGATTAAAACGTAAGAGAATTTAGAAGATTTTTGCCATCATGGAGTCTATACCTTGTAGCTATTCTCATTTCCTTTTTTGCGTTTTCGAATCCAATAGATTTTTCTAAATGTAACCTGTAAAGGTGTACACATTTAGATACCGAAAGAGTTTGTCGTAGGTTTTTAGGTTAAAAACACAACACCGAAATAACCTAGGGAAATTGCCAGATAATTAGAAGGATAAACAAAATACTGTTTCTGTTTTCATATGTATAAAAATATGGGAAAAGCCACAAAATACAGTCGACGACAACAACAACGACATAAGCTCAGTGTAGCTTGGTAAAAATCAGGTAACAAAAGTTTCGAATGCTGGGTAGCGCTTAACAGCAATGCGTTATTTCTAGACAAATCTAGATTTGCCATCCCTTTGTTGTTTCTATACAAACAAACATGGATGACAATGATCACGATCGTTCATCATATACTACATGAAGTTTCCTATAGACTATACCACAAACTTGGAAAAAATTACCTTTCGGCGACGGCTAAAAATGTGTGAGAATTCAGTATAAAAATTGTTAATTTTCTAAGCCTTAGACAATGGGCATAGAATAAAAGAATCGATATTTTAATATCTCTACCGGATTTTTCTTTTCGCGAGAAAACACCACATTCGACTTTCTTGTTTGTTTTTTTTTTAAATATCTTTTGAAAAATATTCATATTTATATATTGTTTGATTGCGTGATGTCTTACTTGGACGACCGACATGACATTATAATGGTTTAAGCTTATTCCAATTTGAGATAGCAGACTAACAACGATGAGGTGACTTGTTAACGGCAACAGAGTGATGTCTTAACTGAAAATGGGCGTGGAATATACAACACGGGAATGTGGGGCCCCTGCTATAAGGAATACTGGCTTCAGGGTAACTGAACAATCGAAGTAAGCTGATCGAAGTATTGACAAAGAATAATCAAACTGGAGAAGCTTCACAGAGTAATAACCCAAAGTGTAGCGAGATCATTTGAACCATATGGTGGATATACTGAAATAGGCTGATGCAGGCAAAATTACATCGAGCAAACTGTCATGCCTTAACAACAACCGCAGTTGAGAAGCGGAGTAATACACCAACGTGTAAAGACAACGAGTCGCTTTCATGCTCAGAAAGTACAAATTCACTTTAGCTTATGTTTGTCTTTCTTCTATAATTTTTGTATATTGTTCCGGTTTTTCAGTTTCTGATTTTGTTTCCTGATTTCTGACAATGGAATCCTTCTACGTTTCAGGGCCCAAATTTGATACGGTACTTATCAAATCGAACAAATAGACAAGCAGACTTATAGAGCAACGAAGAAACAACAACAAACCTCTACGCAGAAGCAGACCCAAGCTGAAAGCTCGAGTTCTGTTTTTTCAATAGATAATGTAAATTTAGGCTTACTCCTTGTCCAGTACAAAATAATGGGACGTTTTTTATTTCATAAAGAACGCATTAATGCATTAGAGCTTTGTTCAAGGAAGCTAACTGCACCGAAATGCTCGTATGTCTCGCACCACAGGTAGGTAAAAAGACGT